GGGGATTAGCTAGCTGTCCTAGCAGGCTGGCATCCTCAGATTCAAGTCACTGCACCATTTACAATACTGAGCTAACCTAAAAGTCTTGGGGAGAGAGTGAATAATTTTGCATGATCAATTTGAAAAATGTCATAATTATTTCTGACTTTATATAATCACACTGATTGATTAGGGTTTTTTTTTTACAGCTTGTCAACCATTTGCAGGTTATTTAAAGCCAAAAAATATTTTTAGATTTCAAGAATTTTCTTTTTTTTTTTTTTTGAGATAATAATAGTTTAGTGATACAATTCCTACTAATTAACCCACTGTACGGTCATTGTATTTGACAAATTTCATTGGTTTTTTTTTCAGCTTATCAACCATCACCAGGTTACTTAAAGCCAGAAAATATGTTTTAGAGTGTAATATTTTTGGGGAAATAATAATGATTTACTTTTCATAATAGTATCTGCACAAAAGTGAATATAACAAACTTGACTGAAATTGGAACTCAGTTCTCTGATTAACAATTCCATACTGTTATCTATCATGCCCCCAAACATCTAAGCTTACATTACCTAGTATTTCCATCTGGTCAACCATCTAAGACACTGACCAGGCTCAGCCTTGCTTAACTTCAGTAAATGTACAAGAACCAATGTAAGCCTCATGCACTCACAACCATTGATGGCTTCCAAAGAGTTTCATCTACTTGATTTCACTGTGAGCCTGTGGTATGGTTTTCAAGCATTTCCCGATGGTGCCACACACTAGGATCATCTCTCCAGGATGATATTATCAAGAAGTTATCTCTCTAACAATGCAGCCATGGTGAGAGTTGAAGCTGTCTCTTCTGGTTAGAAAATGTATGTTCAAACCCCTCAACTATGTAAGTACTTACTCAGCAAATTATATTATACACTCAGTTTCTTAAATTTTGTTTTCTTTCTTAACTGTTGTCTTCATCTTGATTGTTTTTAACATATCACTTTGGCCAATGCATTCTTTGAATGTTCTATGATCCATTGAAAATTAATCTGAAAACTGCAACAAATGAAGATGGTCATTTTTTTACCTGTACTTCATCTAATAAAAGGCACAAGGTCCACAAGGTAGAAGGTTACTGAGTGAGAGTGCTGTATGGGAGGGCGGAAGGAGGTAGTAAGAAGTGCACATCATAAGGACATGTAAGGTAGACATTAGCTGAACCTTGACTTGAAGAGACCAAAAATGTAGTTGTTAGGGAGATTGTACCACATAGTAAAAATTCTGGGGAAGAAGCTGTCTGGGTGGAACTTGCTTTTTATCAAAGAAATATGAAAGGAACTTGGATAGTTTACCACCCTGAACATGGCATAGTGGACTGTAAATGTGAAGGTCTGAATTGGTAGAACTAAGGTGTGTAACTCATCAGAACGTTAGTCTGTGGAGGTAGGGTAGTGTAGTGGGAGGGCAGTGATTTTTGGATATGTATCAATTTTATTTCAGAAATATAAATTTTGTTCATAAACTGAATGTTATGCTTTTGTAATTTTTTAAATTTAGCTTTTTCTTTTTTCTTTTTAATAGATTTCACCCCAAGCAAGACAGTAAAGCCACTAAGACACAAATAGTTACTTGGTGTGGAAGAATTAAGAACAGAAACATTACTAATGAGCAGGAAGAGTAAGGAGTAATCAGGAAGTCAGTAGATAGTGATTGATATCACATTTAAATTTTTACAGATTAAAGTTGGCTGGAAAGCATGGAGCCAGAAGGAAGTTCCACAAGCATTGAATTTACAGCTTTATCTAGCAAGCTCAAATTTAAATTGATGAGATTTTGATGTTAGTCTAGTACTGCACTTAAATTCAAAAAGTCTAGGTACCATGGGGAAGGGCTCATCCAAACACTTACAATGAAAGTATTTATAGAAAATGCAAAGGGAGGCAACCTTACAGTGGTGAGAAAGTGACTAAAGCCAAGAGGCCAGATCAGGACCAATAATATTGCTGATTCTTCTTTGGATTTTATCAAGGAACATAAGGTAAATAGTAGGGGCTTCAGACCACATGTGGCAGCTATATTCCAAGCATGGATAAATGGTAGACTTATAGATATGTATGATAGATTCTGGAATGAAAAATTGTTTTGCACAACACAGTGAGCCAACTTTTTTAGCAGCTGACCTAACAATGGATTCAGTATAGTCTTTCCACTTCATATCAGCTGAGAACATTAGCCTGAGAAGTTGCAATGAGTCATTTTCCTGTTTTTTTTTTAATTTTCTTTTGCCAAATGTTTTAAATCAATGCAAATGGGAAAAAACTGAATTTGTGAACTGAGCAGAAATTCCAGCTCCAAGTATGTTCACAAATTTTTCCTTAATACTCCTGTGAAAAGCATGAGTCAAACTCTCACCTGTCCTGGGTATGATGATAAACTACATCCAGCAGCAAGGCCTCTGATCATGAGGTTTTGAGGAGCATAAAACCACCTCTGTTGTTCCTAGGTCTAGTGTGGTAGCACCTGTTAGGGTCCTATCTATGGGCAAATAGTTAACTCCCAAACTGTGTCAAAACTGTGAAAGTATAAAAAAAAAAAAATTATAGTAAAAATACCAGCAATATATTTTTATAGTAAAAATATGAGTAAAACATTTTTTGAAAAAAAAAAAAAATAATGATACCAGCTATATAATTTTGGAAAAAAATTACTAATGCTCCCAAGAAATTTAAATTTCAGCATTAAATGACCTATAGGGAGTTGATATACTGCTAAACAAACTCTCATGGTTCTGTTCTATTGCTAGATATCTTAAAAAGGGGTTTTGTCACTGGCATGTCACAATCTCTAACAGAAGAGATAAGTTAAAGATTCTTCTCTGCTATTGGTACCATACAAACATGTACAGATTGTTTTAGAGAAAAGGGGTATGGCCAAGCAAAAATCTTCTGTGACATAAAATGCTATCAAGTGCCCAGTATGGAATATCAAGGATCTCATTTGATAATCAATATGGAATATCAAGAATCACATTTGATAATTTCTTTCTGAATTTCTGGTAAGAGGTGTTATTATTTGTATTATTTACAGTCAGACTAATATCTTTATCTTTGTGATTATTATCCCATTACTATATCATATTGGGTTTGATAATGTCTGGCATGAGGAGTTGTCATTATTTACAGTCAGCCTAATATCTTTATCTTTGTGATTATTATCCCATTACTATATCATATTGGGTTCATATCAATTTGATAATGTCTGGCATGAGGAGGTGTCATTATTTATAGTTGGACTAATATCATCTTTGTGGTTATTATACCATTACTATATCTGTTGTAATCAATTGATTAAAAAATAACAAAAAAAGAGGTTGCAGATAATTAGTGCATTGAACAGTAAATACAACAGAAGTGTGTTACACTTCTGTTGTATTTACTGTCCAATACACTATTTATTGGAGTGTGTGTCAATTGACCAGCGTTCAGTGTATATCACTGTTATCCCGAGGCTTACTTTCCTACTACTTTATAATAAGTGGAAGAGTCCACAATAGCCTCATTAGAGGGAGCACTCCACAACAATATCATATTGGGTTCATATCAATTTGATAATTTCTGGCACAAGGAGTTGTCATTATTTATAGTTGGACTAATATCCAAAATATAATCGTAACAACAAAGGTGACCATATTACTTCAACTGTAAAGAATGTAAATAATCTCCTTTGTTGTCTTGACAATGATCTCATCACTGGGATGTCACAATAGGTTCACAAACAAAAGTCAAGACATATAGTCTTTTCCTGCTACTTCTACAGTATAAAACAGTAAGATCTGTTTCAAGTTACTTTCACCACATGGTAACTGCTTAGAATTCTTGTTTTAGAGAAGCTACAAAAGAAGCAACAAAGGCACCCCTCAGTCTTTTGGAACATGGCCCCAACATTAAAAAATAAAAATATGAGACCAGGTAATAAAATAACAAGTGAGAACAAACTCAAGTTAGGCATAAAAAAAATAAAGCTGAAAAAAAATTAAATTCTGACTAAACCCTTGCGCACAAAAAATGACTCCCTAAAAAAAAAACAAATCACAACTTCTTAGCCATTGATGTACTCTGGGTTTTTCTCAAATGCATAGAATAAAAAAACTAAAAAAACTGAGGGTGCAGTTTAAAAAAAAAAAAAACGAGAAAAAAAAAAGAAAGGGTAGAAAAGAAAAAGAAATGGCAAAAGCCTTTCAAGAGAGAATTCATATCTGTTTGGGTCATGGTTTGAGAGAATTCCCTTCTCATAAAAATCCTTAAAACTCACTATGGCTGAAGGAATTCCCTCCATTCATATATCAACATGGGCAGGTGCACCAAAATATCAATCACACTTCTCAACAGTGATAAAGGATTTCATTTTTTGCGGGGTGGTGGTAGTATTTGGGCTTGGTCCCCCCCACTTCATTTCTACATCATATTTTTTAATATTTTTTCATTTAGGCAGGAATAGGATGCACAAATGAATATTTGCATGAATATTTGTGTGAATGGAAAGAAAAAAGCAAGTGATTAACCCAGTACTGGAAATAAATAAACATTTTATATATATATATATATATATATATGAGAGAGAGAGAGAGAGGACAAGGATGAGATGAAAGAGAGGATGTGTTGGCCTGAGGAGGAAGAGTAGTGCAGTAGGTGGTAGAGAGGGCAACGAATTTGTGACTGTTTATGGGAATGTCTTTGGACATGCATCATAAAATTCAAATGTGTAAAAAGAAAATAATAGTGATTGAGATGGAGAGGTTTGAAAACAAGAATATCTTAAGGTTACATGGTCTAAATGTGCCGACTATTGTAAGTTTCAACGAATACAGAAGGGTGAAGTACAGGGAATGAGAGAAAGTAGAGAGTAAGAAATGTGAGTGGGAAAGACAGTGTGAAGGGAAGAGAGAGAGGAAGTGCAGAAATATGAGTGAGAGAGAAAGAGAAAAAAAAATGCAGAAAATGAATGAAAGGGGAGGCTAAAAGTGAAAGAAGTCAAGTCAGAATGTAAAGAAAGGACAGGCTGAAGGTAAATGATGGAAAGGCAGAACAGGGGGAAAAAACGTAAAAGCAGAATGAGAAGGAAGGAAGGAAAGGCAAAATGTGAAGGAAGGAAGGAAGGAAAGGCAAAATGTGAAGGAAGGAAAGGCAAAATGTGAAGGAAGGAAAGGCAAAATGTGAAGGAAGGAAAGGCAAAATGTGAAGGAAGGAAAGGTGGAAAAAATGAAAGAAGGACAGGCAGAGAGTAAAGGAAGGAAAGGTAAAAAATGCGAAGGAAAGGTAAAAGGAAAGGAAAAAAATGCAAAGGAAGGAAAGGTAAAATGCAAAGGAAGGACAGGTAAAATACCAAAAAAGGAAATTTAAAAAATGCAAAGGAAGGACAGGTAAAATGCAAAGGAAGGACAGGTAGAATGTGAAGGAAGGAAAGTCAAAATGTAAAGGAAGGAAAGGTAGAAAAAATGAAAGGACAGGCAGCGAGTAAAGGAAGGAAAGGCAGAATCTGAAAGAAGGAAAATGTAAAGGAGGACAGGCAGAGAGTGAAGGAGAGGCGGGGGCAAAATGTGAAGGAGGAAAGGCAGAATCTGAAGGAAGGAAAGGCAAATGTGAAGGAAGGAAATGTGAAGGAAGGAAAGGCAAAATGTGAAGGAAGGAAAAGCAAAAAATGTGAAGGAAGGAAAGGCAAAATGAAGGAAGGAAAGGTGGAAAAAATGAAAGAAGGACAGGCAGAGAATAAAAAGGAAGGAAAGGTAAAATGCGAAGGAAGGAAAGGTAAAATGCAAAGGAAGGAAAGGTAAAATGCAAAGGAAGGAAAGGTAAAATGCAAAGGAAGGAAAGGTAAAATGCAAAGGAAGGAAAGGTAAAATGCGAAAGAAGGAAAGGTAAAATGCGAAGGAAGGAAAGGTAAAATGCAAAGGAAAATAAAGGTAAAATGCAAAGGAAGGAAAGGTAAAATGCAAAGGAAGGAAAGGTAAAATGCAAAGGAAGGACAGGTAAAATGCAAAGGAAGGACAGGTAAAATGCGAAGGAAGGACAGGTAGAATGTGAAGGAAGGAAAGTCAAAATGTAAAGGAAGGAAAGGTAGAAAAAATGAAAGGACAGGCAGAGAGTAAAGGAAGGAAAGGCAGAATCTGAAAGAAGGAAAAATGTAAAGGAGGACAGGCAGAGAGTGAAGGAAGGCGGGGCAAAATGTGAAGGGAGGAAAGGCAGAATCTGAAGGAAGGAAAGGCAAAATGTGAAGGAAGGAAAGGCAAAATGTGAAGGAAGGAAAGGCAAAATGTGAAGGAAGGAAAGGTGGAAAAAATGAAAGAAGGACAGGCAGAGAGTAAAGAAAGGAAAGGTAAAATGCGAAGGAAGGAAAGGTAAAATGCAAAGGAAGGAAAGGTAAAATGCGAAGGAAAGGTGGAAAAAAATGAAAGAAGGACAGGCAGAGAGTAAAGGAAGGAAAGACAGAATGTGAAGGAAGGAAAGGCAGAGAGTGAAGGAAGGAAAGGCAGAATGTGAAGGAAGGAAGGGCGGAATGTGAAGGAAGGAAGGGCGGAATGTGAAGGAAGGAAGGGCGGAATGTGAAGGAAGGATAGGCAGAAAATGAAGGTAGTAGTAGATATTTTTGCCTGTTCTTTGGTTTACCGTTCTTCCTGGTCTCTTTGAACAGGAGTAGAGGTTTATTCCTTGTTTCCTGCTAAGATTGGGTTTCCAGTTCCTTCTAAAATCTACTTCAACCAGTCATGTGAAGCCTAGAGTTTACTCTTTCATTGTATGCCCCTAAGACTCAAGCAAGAGAACCTAGTACTGAGAAATATGAGAATCAAAGGCATTTTCAATATGTAAACACAGATGAAACATGGAATAAACACTTTATTCAAATTAAATACAAACTAAATTTTTATTTCACTCTTTGATTGGATGCCCTACTGATATGGGTGTCTGTGGCTGTCATGTCTTCTTCCTCCCACCCCTTCTGTATGTTGCTGACTTCAACTCTATACTTCCTAATATCTCTGTCTAAACTCTGAAATTGTATTTATTATTTTTTCTCCTTAATACTCCTCCCCTGTTTTTTGGACAGAAGCAGAGGTTTATCCTGTATTTCCTGTTTAAGACTGAGTTTCTGGTTCCTTCTAAACTCTTCTCATTCCCTTCCGCTTCCAATAATCCCCTTGTATCTTAGTGGCATTATCACCTTGCTTGGAGTGAATTGATTAAACATATATATATGTGTGTGTGTGTGTGTGTGTGTGCTTCATTGAATATGATGGATAAGGAATATTTTCTATGTGTTTTATTTATTCTTTTCTGTCATCATGATTTTCCTTTTCTGGAGGCTAAAGTATACTGAGGAATTGTCCGTAGATTCCATTGTCCCAAGTGCGCTTGGCTAAGTTTTAAGCCATTTTCAATATTTCTTTTTTGTTTTTGTGATAACAAAGATTACATTTCTTTCATATTCTATTTCGTGTAATTGTTAATGAATCAAAGAATTAAAGAATTGGTCAAAAGAATTTAGAAAAATGAAAACTGTAGACAATTCCTCTACACATTTCATCTATGAGCAATGTCTCTTCAGTAAGTTTGTGATCATGGCACTCCACAACTTCCAGTACTTTGTAGCTCTTTATAAATTTTGTCTTTTTGGTATCCCTCCTAAACCTTGTTCCACCATCCATTTACTCATGCTCACTATGTAGGTTATGCATTGTTTACATCTGTTCCTCTTGCTTTCAAGCTGTCCTGTGAATAGCAAATTTTCTAGGCCTGCTTACCTCATTATAGAAATTTTCTTTCCATTTCTTCTATTAACAGTATGTCATCTGCATATCTTATGTTGTTAAGATTGTGGCCGTCAATAATGAATCCTGGTAGGACATGTAATCCACTCAGAATCACCTCACATAACAGTAGTTTATTTGTAACAAACTTTTCTTGCCTCTAAAATTTTAATGACACAAAAAGCGAATAAAATAATTTGGAAATATCCCTCGTCTGTCATAACCAACAAAATCTGCATAAAAAAATGACTGCCTGTATATAAAACATATATGTGTGCATGGGTTGTCTTTGTCAAAAACTGTCAAGACTAGCAATAAATAGAGCAGCTGCAATATCCAATCATGAATGAAAGAAAAGAAAAACAGACTTATTCTTTCTTCTCAACAACAGGACAGAGCACAGGAAAAATTAGATCAGGAATTCCCAACCTTTTTTGCATCATCACCCACTTTAACATGGAAAAATTTTCCACTGCCCACTTGTATATTAAATATTCAAAAGAATACCAAACTTACACTATTTAAATAATTTGGACTATTGTCCTCATCTTTGTCGCCATATTTATTACAATGTTTTGGCCATTGTACACTCCAGCCTTCTTCAGGTGGTTAGAATGTCGAACTGAACCCTTTATTTTGCTCACTGAGGTAGACTGTTCTAGTTCCAAGTGCCATGTTTAAAGACACATGGCACAGTAGATAAAGGTGTTAGTTGGATCCAGTGACAGGACCCAAAGAGTGTGAGTTCAATGTCCAGTTAAGGCAGTGGAGAACTTGCAGAGGGAAATTAACTGATATCCATTAAGCATGCATTCAAAATCTCAATGGTCAAACTGAGATCATATTTAGCTTAGAAGTTTTTTATTTTATTTTAATGTATGTGTGCTTAATATATATTTAGACATGTTTGTGCGTGTATGTATGTATGTGTAGCTTAGGTTACATCTCTGACAGATGCCAAATCAGTCGAGTTTTGATCCCGGCTTGAAGCAATCAGATGTCTAGCCACATTGATGAGCTATGATACAGCAAAACAGTCTGTCTGTGGATGACTTGCTCTCATTTGCCGATTGAGCACTATGAAGAAAGAGAATTTTTAACAGTGGCTGCTCCTGTGATTACCGCATCACCCTTCAGTTATGAATTGAACACTCTGGCTGCTGATTTGGCATTTATATACATCACATATATAATATGTTAAAGATTTGCTTTTATTTGCCATGTGGCGATAGCTTAGGGGTAGAGTCTCTGACTGATACCAAATCAGTTGAGTTTTGACCCCGGGTTGAAGCAATCGGATATCTAGCCACACTGATGAGATGTGATATGAAACAGTTTGTCTGTGTGTGTGTGTGTGTGTGTGTGTGTGTGTGTGTGTGTGTGTATATATATATATATATATATATATATATATATATATATATATATATATATATGTGTGTTTGTATTTGGGCACCAATCCCTCTTTTATACAAGTTTCATTAAAGACAACTAACAAGTTACTGTGATTAAGCTTTTTATTAATTTTTTTCTTGCATTTGTACAAGTGTTTTCTTTTCTGGACATAAAGTGTGTAAAACTCTCCAAATGTTTTGCATATCTGACCACTTTTTGCTGTTCATTACTCATTATCACAGATTTGTTTTTATTATTTTTAACTGAATATGTTGAATTTTATATATATGTATCTATAATGATGGGAATGTTTATATTTTTTTCCAAACATCATCAGCATGTTGTGACCATGTTCATAATTGATATTATTGAGTGTTGGAATGTCATAATGGCCAGCTACTCATTTCCAAGCAGACTTGTCTACTAGGACTGCTATCCCATCCCTGGTGCAGATGACTGCTCAGGCACATTTGTGTTTGTTCAACACCCACAGAACCCATCTGTGGTTTACACTGTCACTATCCTGAGAGGACTTAGTTACAGTTTCTCAGTGATAGTTCATAATATGGTCTGAGGAACAGTCTGAAGAAGGTCAGTACACCGAAACCCTCAGCCACAATGAATAAACTAATTATATGCAATATTTATGTTCCAATACAATCTTCCTGGTCACTGACCTTCATACAAAAAAACACGTATATCAAACATTATACACTGAAAATATGATTGATTAACTTTCTATGGCTTTTCAACACTTTACAGGTTATTTAAAGCCAGAATATATTTTTAGGTTGTAAGAAATTTTTTGTTGAGATAATAATGATTTTGTGATACAAGTTTAACTACTTAACCTATAGCTGGGGGAAGAAGAGTGAATTTATACCTTTACCAAGGTTATTTGCACATCAGTGAATATAATGAACCCAAATGGAATTGGATACCAGCTCTGTGATTAACAATTCTGAACCATTATCTATTATATCACCCCAACATCCAAACTTATAGAACCTGGTATTCCTAAGTGGTCACTCTTTTAGGTTCTGACCATGCTCAACATTGCTTAACTTTGGTGATCATACAGGAATTGGTGTTTCAATGTGATGTGGCCATAAGCCTGAAAATTTTAAATCAAATATTAAGTAATAAAGGGTGTTCCAATAACTTGGACTGATTTTAAATGTGAATTAGGTTCTAAGTGTCTAATGAGTTTTTTCTTTTTCTTCCAGATTTAACAACTTAAGTCTTTGGAAATTTCAACCATGGAAAGATTAACAAGCAAACAACATGTTAAAGTTTCAAGAGTGCAATTGGAAAAATTTTTCGTAAATTCAAACAAACCCAGTCAGGGGCAGATGTGAAAACACCATTGTGTGCTTGTTTACACCATTCAGCTGAAAACATTGCTGCAGTGCATGAGAATGTATCCAAAAATCCAGACCCCTCTATTCGTCATTGTGCACAGGAATTAAACTTCTCCACAATGACATTACATCGTTTCCAATTGCAGTCTTGGTTGGTCACTTATGTTGATGAAAAAAATCATGAAGTGCGCAAAATGCATTTCTGTTTGAACATCCATTTTTGTAATAAGTTTTTATAACTTCAACACGTTGTTTGATTGTTGATCTTTCCATGGCTGAAATTGTCAAAGACTTAAGATGTTAAATCTAAAAGAAAAAGAAAAAAAACATTAGACCCTTAAACTTAATTCACATTTAAAATCGGCCCAAGTTATTGGAACACCCTTTAACAGTGTCAGGCTACAGACTTATTGATTTATCCTCCTGTGTATGTATATAGTTGTTTAAAGTGAGAAAGAAATGCATGAGAGTTGCACCGAATGCAGATACACAAAAAAATGTAAGCGCAAAAGGTTTGCACATGTAAATAAATGTGTTTGGTATGTGTGTACGTATGTAAAATGTTAGTACGTAACATGTATGAGTTTTAGTTGAAATGTGTGGAAATGTTCCGGCATCAGTTTTAGAAAAAAAGGAAAAGAAAGAAAAGTACAAGTTATCACCTGTTCTTTTTTATTCTTTATATCATCATGTAAATACCCCTATCCATTATATCTGTTTTCGCTGTTATTGACAGCATGGCAGTTATAAGAAAAAGCAGAAATACTGGCCTTAATATATATTAGACGTTTCAATAAACCCACCAATGTCATCAATTCAGTCTATTGATTAAGTTACTCTTGCATTTCGCATGTGTACAGAGTCACAAACACAAGTAACGTACTGTTCTTACCCAACATAATTCTTACAATCACCCCTCAGGCTAACAGATAACATTTTTTTCACTTTCCTTTTTTACCTCTGAGGAAGAGAAAGAAACCAGACTAGAGTTGAAATTAATAACAAAAGTTATATTATTTTCTGAAAAAGATGCATTAAAGAAATAAACAAAACTGATGATCATTGGAGTCTTGTAATGAGACCTTTATTCTATGAATGATTCAATTTGACTTTAGATTCATGTTCTGCCTATCCTATCAGTTTTCATGGTTGTATTGGTGAAGACAACATCCATTCAAAGATGAGCTCCCAAAACAGGATGTATATTTATTTCTATTTCATGCTACTTATACTAGAGTTTCAAATAGGAGGGTTAGAATTAAAGGTAATTGCTTAGAATTTTTTTAAAAAGAAAACAAAACAAAAACAAACTGAATTAAATTTCCTGAATATTTAATAAAAGCAGTGGTTGGAAAAAAGATAACACTGGTGGATTTATTTTTTCTCAAAAAAAAAAAAAAATCCTGGCCTGTCATTTGAAGATCAGAGGTACTTTAATTATTGGAAATTTTTGGAGATGACCAGGTAAAATGAAAGAATCAGTGCAGATGCAAGACTATAAGGACCTCCTCAGTAGGGTTAGCAGAGTAATTAGCACGATTCAGAAGCCATTAATAAAGCCATTAATAAAGCCAGAGAAATGACAGTAAAGCTTTAACAAGAGCAACAGTAATAGAAAAGAGAAGCCTCTATGAGTGTAGTCAAGCATGATAAGCAGCAGTATTATCAGCAGGCAGGTTAGGTTTAAAGCTCCAAGTTTTCATAGATAAAAGCATTGATTTATCAATTTGGTGACAGTAATTCCAAGTTCAATTCATGGGCTGGGCAGTGTGTGTACTTGAGACTAAGTGGAAACAGGGTGAGCAATAACTTTACAGTATTAAGTAAAAACCAGATGTAATATCCGAAGCAATGGTCAGCAGAATGAGAACAGTCTATCCACTGCCATAGATTAAATAAAGGGTTCAGGCTGAAATTCCCTGAAAGTTACCCAGATCATTATATACTTAATGAAGCACAAAAGGCATGGCAGCAGGGAGATGAGGACAATAGTCACTGTGTAAATAACAACTTCTCATTTTAAAAATTAAGACAGAAAAGACAAGGTAAAAATTAAATAATTAATGTTCTAAAGACAAAAGGTAAAATTTTACAAGGTAAAAGACAAGGTAAAGACTAACATACTAAAGACAAGGTAAAATTTAATAACATACTAAATTAAAATAGTTTTTGTTTGATTCTCATTAAGTTGAATTAATTTCATTAATGTGTTCAGTTAAGCATGGGGATCTTTTTTTCTTCCCCACCAAAAACTAACTCCCATCAATGCTTTTTTTTTTTTTTTTTTTTTTAATTATTTTTACACCATACACAGGATTTGCAGGTTTTGTGTAGTGGATAACGGCTCTGAATAAGGAAATCAGAGAGCCAAATTCGAATTCCAGGTATGTCCATTGCAATCACTTATGCACAAATACAATTGGGAAAGGCATGAATCCATCTCTATTCACCTCAGCTATGGTCCTATAGGCTTGGTTTTCAGCCTGAAAGAAATGGAAACCTACTACAAGAAAATCTTCTAAAGAGACATGATCACCCAAGAGTGTATCCCATATGGCACTTAACTGACTGAATGATGCCATACCAATTCAGGATATAGGCAGTCATGACTCTCCAAGGATTCCTTTTTTTTATTATCTTGCATTGCCATGACTTTGGAAAAAATAATGTAGACTGGCTGCTAGAGTACCCAGTCAACTCTACTATTTAACCCATAGATGGAGGGAGAAAAGATGGAATCGTGCTTTTTTTCTCAGGGCATTTGCACGAAAGTGAATCCAACAGACAAGGTATGAATTTGAACCCAAGCTTGCTGACTATTTTTTATGACAATAATCATTACACTAGCTGTAAATCCAATTTTAAAGTACAGAAGTCTAAAAAGGTAATTAAAAAAGATTAAACAGTGAGTAACCTACCTAACAAGCTTGTGAAAATAGATGGTAGAACAAGGAATTGAGAGTGTTAGTAATGAGACAGTGCTTAGAATTATAATGTATAAGAAGTTATTGAGAGCCATGACCATCCTTTTTTTCTTCAGGACACAGTACATAAAAGTAACTTTTAATATATCTTCTGTTAAAAAACTTGTGGAAAATATTAAATTGAGCATCATGCCCAGTCAAAATGCACATTTTCCTTACTCCAGTCAGTGTATAATTTATAATTGTTCCTCTTTTGGTGAATGTTGGTGTTTGTACAAGGTGACAAGGACCATTCAAACTAAAAATCACTTACGAAGAGTCACATTAAGTCTTAAAACTTGTTTTGTTTTGCTTTGCTTTATGGCATATCAATCTCAATAGGTTATTTAATGCCAACAAGATCTTTATTGCTGATATTTCTTTTCAAAAAGTATTTCTGGTAATATTTTCCCCAAAAATGTGTTGCTTGTAATAAATAATGTATTGCTGGTAATAATTTTGTCTTTGAAAATTTATTGCTGCTAATAATTTTTACAAAAATGTATTGCTGGTATTAAAAACTATTTTTACACTTTCATAGTATTTTGACCCCTTTTGTTGGGGGTTAACTATTTGCCCATAGCTGGGATCTTAACAGGTGCTACCACCTCGAGTCAGGGCGGATCTGGGAACACCAGCAATTAAGAGGTAGTTCCACACTCCTCAAAACCTCCTGATCAGAGGCCTTGCTGCTGGATGGGTAATCGTCTTACCCAGGAGGCGGATATAGTTTATCATCATACCCATGATGACTCTAGTACTGATTAACAGTTAGAAAAAGATATTTATTGGTCACTTATTAAAGGAGATTTTTGCTTTATTTAAAGCTAACATTTGGACTGAACCAAATCATAACTCTGAGTTGTCTGATGACCTCATCAATTTGGATAGGAGTCCTTGAGTTGTTTCTTTTCACAGATTTAGTATTCCTTGGATTGTTTATGATGCTTTAATAATAGTTTGGCTTATTTGGGTTATATAAGACGATATTAGCTCCCAGAAAGAAAAAATTAATTCAATCAAGCACGAATTTGTAAACAGTGATTATTACTGCTAATACTGCAAGACTATCCCAGTGGATTGAGTCCTCTAAGTCACTGGCATGTTTATGAAAAAATAAATACACAAAAATTCACTTTGCTCTCTGTCGGGCGCCAATAGCCTAGGGATTAGAATCTCCTACTGATGCCAAATTGGTCAGGTTTCAGTCCAAGCCACACTGATGAGCTGTGATACAGTGAAACAGTCTGTCTGTGGATGATGGTATATATATATATATATATATATATATATATATATATATATATATATGTATATGAGAGAGAGAGTGTGTATATGTGGACATAAGAATCAACACTGCAGGGTGAATTTGAAATATATATTCAACATGAAGTGTTGATTCCTATGTCCACACTTTCTATATCTATAAATTCTCTATCTACAATTTTGGGCACTCTTCTCTAAGTATAGCAATTATAAAGATAGAGAAGAAAAAACACTGACAAACGGTTCTGTTCAATATTATAGAAAGCATTGAAAAATCATTGTAATTCATGAAGAAAGTATTGTCAATGTTCAGGAATTAATGCAGATGCTAATAATAGAAGGAGGTTATCATTTTTTTGTTTATTTCTACCTCCAAAAACAGGAATAAAGTGCACTAGGAAAGAGGCATATGCATTTTAAGGGTTTATACTTATTTTGTGGGGATAATTTTAAGTCCAAATTTTGTCAATGAAGAATACTATTACTGTGTGGAAAAAAAAATCATGTAAATAAAGTCTGGTAACTTTCCATCAAATAATTTTAAAATTATAATCTATAAGCTATATTATCGATAAAGCAAGAATTTCATTTTGAAAAAAAAAAAAAAAAATGGAAGATGGGAAGAAAAATGGAAAAATATTGCACATAAGAAAAAATACAATCAGTGATAAAAAGAATTAATCAGATCTTTGAGAAGAAAAATGAAAAAAAAACTTTTTCGCTTTTTTTGTTTTAATTTTCGATTTATTTTTGTCTTAAAAAAAAAAAAAAAAAAAAAAACAGGCAGACACACAATTTATAAATTTGTTTGTTTATGCCAAAAGGAAAACTTATTAACTTCTTAAAAGATTTAAGAAAAAACAAAATTTTTCTTACAAAAATTTATTGCAACCAAGTGATGTATTTGAATAAATGCAAAAAAAATAAAAAATAAAAAAGAGGAAAAAACATACAAAGAAAAAAATGGTCACTTGAGCAAGAAAGATTTTTTGGCAAAATATTTTATGAGTTAAAACTATGAGGGACTGCTGAAAAGTTCTCTGCCTTAGCAATTTTTAAAAATCTGACTAAATGACTAATTATCAGAACTATATTTTAATCACTTCTTGTGTTGAGGACTTTGCAGGTACCTCCTACTCATGGGGTAATATCCAATATAAGAACTAAAATGTTCAACTTGAATTTCTTTTAGTTTTGAAATAATTAATAAATTATCCAAGTGTTTCCAAATCCCTTGCAACATTCATGTAGGATATCTTAAGTATCTCAGCAGTGTGCCATGTCATGTAACCTGGATTATTTTTATTGTATTTTCTTGTGCATAATACAAGAAATTTTGAATGAAAATTAAAACCAAAATGGGTGGGATGTATTATACACAAGTACACATTTTCAGAAATTTTTACTCAGCTTATTTCAAACCTTATTTCAAACCTTATTTGAAACAGCAAGCTTGCAAATACACTCAATCAGCACAATAGATAATAAAACAGAGTAGGCAGGTGTTGATAACAATTGTTTACAAAAGGTATTTGATATGTCGGCCATATTTGTTTCTCTCTTCATTCTTAATTAAAGACAATAATTTTTATTTTCATAGTTTATTAATATCTAGAGATATAATAAATTCATATCAAAGAGAAAAGTATGATAGATCAATTAACACCTTAGAGTGTTTTACCAGGGTAAATCTATTTAGTACCTTTC